GATTAAAACGAATATTTGTAATTTAAAATACTGAATCAAACGTTAAAAAAAAGGGGGAGCTTAGCTGAGCCGTTAAGCTATTTGGCTCGGCTCGGCTTATGAATTGTAAAACAAAAGTGACTCTTTTATTTATGTAGGATATGTTGAGGTGGCATGTAATTTAGCACCTGATTTGAATTTCATTTATTCAAATCAAGGATCAAAATGATGCCACCTCTGCATCTGTGAACAAAGATGTAAAACAGTTTTTGTACAAGTAGCTTAATTTATTGGTATAACTAAAAATAATGAACCTGCATGATGCAGTTGTCGGAAATTTTGAGAGGTTTTATAGGAATTAAAATATTATGATTCTTTCTATTAATACATAAATATTTAGTAATGCTACTAATACAATTTACTGAAGGAAATATTTTGTCGTAATTAATGAGTGTTCTACACTCATGATATTTATGCCACTTAATTCGTTATTTTGTTATCATTGAGAGAGTTTTAGGGCGTTTTAATATGTGTTTTGATGTTGTGATATATGTTGATTAAATTCAAGAAATAAGCAAACGTTGGCAAAATTGGAGAATATGGCTAAATTGGAAAAGATCCAAAGTTCGGGGACTAAAGTGAAAATACTCCAAAGTTGTGTCGAACCTCACAATGAAGATTCGAGACTGCTAGGAGTCAATTGGATGAAAAAAGAAGTCAAATGGATGAAATATAGGCAAAATATGATCACACATCAATTTCCTACCGAAAAAGTTATGCTCCAAATTTTCAGTCTCATATTGAGACTCATTTTTGACATAGCAAACGTTCAAATTGGATAATTATATCCGAAGAAAAGTTTTATCCTTAGAGTTATCATTTCAACGCATCTTGAATCGCCTCAATCGGATATCGGGAAAAAAAATATGATAAAAATACTGAAAGACGCGTAATACTGAATTTTCACCTGAAATGGCGCCGCAGCGCCTATGTCGCTGAAAATCAGCAACAACATGGGTGCCGTAGCACCCATATTGGGCGCCGAGAAAACAGGTCTTTAATATTTTTAGATTCTTTTCTTGGCCCAACACGACTCCAAGGCTTCAAAATACTATAAATACAACATTTAAGACCTAATTCTAGGGGAGAACGGTTCAAGAGGCAATGAGGAATTCAACACAATTCTTCAAGAAGGCAATGAGGAAAAATATCAAGAGATTCAAGATCAAGACAAAAAAGAATAAGAGAAGAAATTGAAAATCTACATCCTAATTTTTCTATTCTCTTCCCTATATCTTTTTACATGAATTTTAGTATTTTCATAGATTACATCACGAGCTAAATTTATTGTCCAGGGTTTGATTGTAGCCAAAAACTTGAGATATGGATTGATTAATTTTAGTTACTTCTATTAGATTTTCCGCATGTGTT